AGGGCTGGAGGGGGGCCCCTGTGGAAGTGGGAGTCAAGAGCACCCAGAGGGAAACTGGATAGGAGCACTCTGTGCTCCCATGGGGGTGTTCCTAGACCTCAGCTTCAGAGAAAGGGAGGGAGGGAGGAGTGTTTCCTGTCCGTCCTCCGTGGGCCCTGCAGAGGGAAGGACTGCTGCACCTGCGCTGCAGGCGCTGAGGGTGGCCGAGGGCCCCTCCGGAGGGTGGGCAGGCCCCGGGTGCGGGGCAGCTGGGCTGCATCAGGAGGAGGAAGGGAACCGCACCTGGGCCCTGCCCACCCTGGGCACGTGTGCTCTCCAGCTGGGGCAGAGGGGAACCTGCAGACTCTCTCTCCCACATCCCTGTGTTGAGTGAGGAGGAGGAGGAGCAGGAAGGCAAGGAGGAGGAGCAGGAGGAGGAGGGGCAGGAGGAAGCGGAGCAGAAGAGGAGGAAGAGGAGTGGGACAGGGAACATGTGTTGAGTGCGGAGGACGAGGAGCAGGAGGAAGAGAAGTGTGACAGGGAACAGCAGGAGGAGCAGCGATCCTTTTCCCAATTCCTCCCTCAGATGCTCAGCCCGCAGCTCCCCCTGCTTCCTCCGAGGCCGCCGGGACCCGATGCTCAGGTGCCTGCAGACCCCGGACAAATGCTCCAGAACACACTGCCGTCAGCTGTCACTTCAGACCTGACACCTGCGCCAGTGCCCGAACCTCAGGCAGCTGAGGTCCCTGCGTCTGTTTGGCCTCAGTCTCACTGATTTCCCCCCAGGCCCTGGGCCTCGGTAACTGTGCCGGGTGGACTCCCGAGGCGAGGCCATCCTGCCTGTCCTGAGCGGCTGCCACCAGCTCAGGGAATGCACCACCAACTTCTCTGTGGCCAACTTGGGGGGGTGGGGCTGTCAACCAAGGGGCACTTGCCCTGGTCCGGGCTGAGCTGACAGGGTACTGAGGGCGTTAGGACCGCCCAGGACCATCTGTCTTGGCACTAAGCGCTGTAAGCGACGTGACATCAGTGTAATTTCAGACGTGGCGTTTTCATGACGTGTAGCCCTGCCCTGCCCGGTAGTGACCCTGCTCAGTGGGAACACGCAGCAAAAGCTTTGTTCTGAGCCCTTGGAAGCTGAAATATAGAACGGGGTGCATTGTGCAGGGGACACCCACATTTCAGGTTCATGTCACTGTGAATGGGGAAAGGAAGGGACCCAGCGCGGGTCCTGGAAATCAGAAACATGGATCTGACTTGCTTGTGGAAGGGGCAGGGGATTTAAGCTCGGTGCAGGTGTGGCAGTTAATCCTTTAGTGGATGGTTGTAAAGGAATGATCAGAAATAAAGACAATTTCAAAGGCAAAAAAGAAAAATTTTTATGGGAGTATCCTAAACATGCATGCGTCTAAAGTGTGCAGCTTAATATAGTTTTCTATCAAACCACCACTTGCTTCAAGGTATAGGACATTTCCAGAAGGCTCCCGTGCCCCCTCCCACTCAGCCCCCATCCCGAAGTAACCATGTAACATTGTCACTAGGGGCCAATGCACGAAGATTCATGCAAGAATAGGCTTTCCTTCCCCTGGCTGCCAGCCCCGCCTTTGCTCCGGCCCGAGTCTCTCTGCCTTTGCTCTGGCCACAGCTGCCTTACGCCTCTCGCCTTATCAATTTGCATATTCCCTCCTTGGCTGTGGGCGCTGCCAGCTTTTGTCATGGAGTTATGGCCAATTTGCATAGTTAGTCTTTATTAGATAGTATTATTTTAGTCCTCACCTGAGGATATTTTTCCATTGATTTTTAGAGAAAATCAATGGAAAGGGACAGATAAATTTTGATGTGTCAGAGCCTGAAATAACTATTATACTGAGTTCTATCTCCATCAATTAGTTTCACCTGTCCCTGAATTTCATATAAATGAATGATGTCACGGTGTGTACTCTTTTTTTTTTTTTTTTCTGGAAGGACTATGGCAAAGGGATTGTTGACAGTTGTTAAGAGCAAGGGCAGCCCGCCAGCCAGGGAGGTGGCACCCCGGAAACAGAGACCATGCAAGGTCTCCACAGTGTGTACTCGTGTTTGGCTTCTTTTGCTCAACGTAACATCTGCAGGACTCACTCAGGATGTTGTAAGACTGGTTCATTCATTTTTTAAATTTTATTTATTTATTTATTTTAAAGCATATTTTAAATATATTTTATTGATTTTTTACAGAGAGGAAGGGAGAGAGCTAGAGAGCTAGAAACGTCGATGAGAGAGAAACATCGACCAGCTGCCTTTTGCACACCCCCTACTGGGGATGTGCCCGCAACCAACGTACATGCCCTTGACCGGAATCGAACCTGGGACCCTTCAGTCCGCAGACCGATGCTCCACCGCTGAGCCAAACCGATTTTGGCTGATTCATTCATTTTTGTTGTTGTTAATCCACACCCGAGGATATTTTTCCGTTGATTTTTTAAAAATATATTTTTTACTGATTTCAGAGAGAAGGAGAGATAGAAACATCAATGATAGAAACATCAATGATGAGAGAGAATCAATGATTGGCTGCCTCCTGCACGCGCCCTACTGGGGATTGAGCCCAAAACTGGGACGTGTGCCCTTGACTGGAACTGAACCGGTTCACAGGCCGACACTATCCATTGAGCCAAACCAGCCAGGGCCACCCCACCCATTTTTTTTACAAAGAGTGGAAGGAAGGGGAAGACAGACACATTGATGTGAGAGACATCAACTGGTTGCCTCCCACAGGCATCCTGACCAGGGCTGGGGATTGAGCCTGCAAACCTGGTACATGTCCTTGACTGGAATCGAACTCAGGACCCTTCAGTCCAAGGGCTGACACTCTTTCCATCGAGCCAAACTGGCTAGGACCTGGCTCGTTCATTATTGCTGTTCTGTAACATTCTACTGCTGACAGCTCTGCTCTTGCTGGGTGTTCGGCTTGTTTCCATGTGGGGATGTGAACACCTGGTGTGTGTGCTGTGTGACAGGGAAGGTGTATGAAGACTCACTGACATCCCCACTACACTGTGAGTTTGGGAGGCGCCGCCTCCTCTCAGCGCTGGGTGGTGACCATCTCACTCCCTCGGTGATGGTGTTGGAGGCTCAGTGACGTCTGCTGGATGAACCCTCCGAGGGGCTGTGGAGGGAGGCTCTCCACGTGGCAGGAGGAGGGATGATCCCCTTCACCTGACAGTCAAGGTCCCGGCTCCCACACCGGCCTCAGAAGCTGCCATCTCACACACCAGCCACAGACCGTACACTCCAGCGTGCGGCCGAGGCGGGCGGAGGCATTCGCACAGGACTGGGCCTGAAGCTCAAGGCTCTTCCATGACAGAGAATTCACAACTTCCTCTGGTGCCCAGGTGGCGCTCCGAGATGGGGTAGTCACAGCTGCCCCCTCAGTGCCAGTGGTACCCACGGGGCAGAGCCATCTCTCCCACTCCCAGGAGGCACAGAGGCCTCTGACCCCGGAGGCTGCACTCCTGACTCGTCCCGCCTCCCTGGCGGCCCTGAGCGGGAGCCGCGGGCCAGTCACCCAGGCTGGACCGCCTTCCCAGCCTCCTCCGGACAGGACCTGTGACCGCTCCAGTGGGAGGTGAGAGAGATGACGGCCGCCTCCAGGCCGGACTAGAAAAACCGCCGTGCGCCGGAGCGTCCCTGGCAGTGACCTTGGAGTCATGGGTGGAGGATGATGAGGCCACAAGTCCCTCCTGGAGAAGTACCGCCCACCGATCGGCTGAATCCCACCACGAGCCTTACACCAACACCAAGTCAGTCCCACTGCGTTGGAGCCTGTGTTTTACGTTTGTTACATCAGCCCTCGTCCCGGGCTCAGTTTCTCCATCTGTGAAATGGAGCTCGTTATTACCTTTGTTAGTTACACATACTGTACTGTTTATGCCGGTTGAGCCCGGAGAAGCTACAGAACTTGATGTTAATAAGTGGAGAGGCCAGGATTTGAACCTGCGGCCTGGTCCGAGAGATCGCACTCCTAAGCGCTCTGCCGAGGCGGAACCCATGGGCCCCTGGCCATCTCAGCCCCAACCCGCCTCCTGGGCACCTTTGCCCATGAAGATGCTACACACACCGCAGGCTGAAGAGAGAGATGGTTTCCCACAAGAAAGGGGCCGTCTGCCCAGAGGGGAGCCGAGGAGAGGCGGACAGAAGCCACACGCCCCATACTCCAGGGCTGGGCCCATCCACCCAACCAGCAGCCTCGTTTCACAGAAGTCAGACATCTCGGGGAAGAACTCAGTTTCACACCATCGCCTCCTCCCTAATCCGCACTCTCCCTCCTCAGCCGGGGTCGCCTCTGACACCCGCCCTCCATTAGCTCTCCATCCTGTCCCTTCCCTCCCTCCCTAAGGCCTGCGTTTTCACCACCTTAAACAAACAAAAGCTGCCCTCCTCCTCCCTGAGCCGCCGCTCTCATCTCTGCTTCACACCCTGAGCCGCTGCTTCCTACCACCTGCTCTCACCTCCGCCTTCCCCTCACCCCGCCTGAGCGACGTCACTGTCCTGCTCACAGGCCTTCGAGGCTCTCCACAACCTCCCTCCCTCCCTCTGCTCCCACTGCCCCTTTCCGCTCTTCCTGGCACCAGGCATGGCTCTCCAGCTCCTAGTCTGCACCCCGTCCCTCCCTGCTCGGTGCCCAGAGGGGCAGATGGTCTCCACCAGAGGAAGAAAAGGCTGCGCAGAAAGGGAGGAAGCTGCCCGGGTCCTCCGTGTAAGACAGGCTGGCCCTCATGACATGCACATCCCCCCCCCATCCTTCCGCAGCCCCTCCTTCCCTCCCTCCCTCCCTCAGCGCTGCCCGCCCCCTGCTCAGGGAGGGGAAGCCAGGTGGATGGACAGGAAGCTGGCCACAAAGCCCGGCACACAGGCCGCGATCAACACTGATGTTCCCTTTTGTTTATTTATTTTTTTAATAAATTTAAGAACAGCTCTATCTTCTCTCCTCCGCCCGCAACAACTAAAACCGACTAAAAGGGGGTGTGGCCGGGCAGAGGGTGCTAGGAGTCATAGTCCTCTTCGTCCTCTGCGTCAGGTCCTGAGGGGCCCGGGGGCGCGGGGGGCAGAGGCAGAGTCGAGGTGAAGGGCAGGAAAGGTGTTGGGGGGCTGCGGGGCGGAAAGCAGGAGGTGAGGTCACTCTCCGGTGCCCACTGAGCCCACCCCGGAAGCATGGAGCCCGTCCCTCTGTATCAAAGGGGGCCGAGCCCAGAACATGGAAGGGCCCAGAACAAGTGCCTCAGCCCCCACCCAGGCCCAATCACCGCCCCTCCCGGGGGAGCGAGCTTCTGAGACAGACTCCTGTCGCTAAGCCCTCCTCCGTGCCCCTTCCCATTCCCCAAGTCTGCCACCCGGGGAAGAAGCGAGGGGCAGAGGCCTGGGGAACAGCTGCTGCTGCCTTCCCGGCCGCGGCTGCTCACCTCTGGAAGTGGGCAGGGGGGCGGCCGGCCTGGGGCGGGGCCTGCGGTGTCTCCTCGTCCCCGTCAGTGTCCGTGTCCTCAGACTCATCCTGGAGCGAGAAAGGCGCGGGCCATCACCGGAGAGCCCGGAGCCCGGGCATGGCAGGGACGGAGGCCACAGGAGGCCACAGGTGAGGTGGGACCAGGCCTCCCGCCAGCGCCCAGGGCTCACCCACCTCCTGCTCCGAGTCTGTCCCTGAGAGCTTCTTGTCCTTGCCTTTGCTTCCCATCCCGCCGTTCTTCCGGCTGCTGCCCGGCTTGCGGCCCCTGCGGGGAGGCACAGTCCGTCTCCCTGGCCATCACCGGCCCCCCGCCCCCCGCCCCCCACCCCGGGCCTTCAGCACCCGGACCCTGGGCCCGGCTCCCCACCTGCGGGCGCCCTTGTCCCCGTCCATGTGGTTGTCCTCCCCGTCCCCCTGCATGTCAGGCACAGCCGCCACCAGGTCCTTCAAGAAGTCAAACTGCTGCTCCAGCTCAATGCACTGCTTCCTGGAAGAGGGAGGGGGCAGCGGGCAGGGCGGTGAGCAGCTCTGGGCGTCAGGAGAGCGGAGCCCGGAAAACCTCCACCTTATCTCCACCCCCTCCTCGCCCTTCGCTGTGACAGCCAACTTCTCCCAAGTTCAAACCACCGGCCGCTCAGGCCGGGCTGGTCCCCGGGGCCTCCCGCCTGCAGCTCCGGGCAGGGGCTGTGCCCGGGGCCCCCAGGACACGGCCTCGGGGGCCGGCTCCAGTGCGGCCCCCAGACCCACGGGCCGCACTCACAGGTGGGACGTGGTCATGGTCTTGGCGTTCCGGGACTGGGTCACCTGGCAGGCCTTCTTCAGCAGCGACTCCAGGAACAGCTCCAGGGCCCGGGCTCGGGGCGTCAAGGAGAACCCGGGAGGGAGCGCTACCGGCCCGGCGCCCCGGGCCACCCCCGCCCGGCCGCCCCACCCCACCGGCCCCACCGGCCCGGCGCCCCGGGCCGCCCCCGCCCGGCCGCCCCGCCCCCGCCCCACCGGCCCCGGTGCCCCGCCCCCCGCCCCGGGTGCCCTAGCCCCCGCCCCCCGCCCCCCGGGTCACCCCGCCCCCCACCCCTCGGATCGCCCCGCCCCCCGCCCCCCGCCGGGCCGCCCCGCAGGATACAGATGATGACAGGCACCGCCGCCGCCACCTTCCCGATCTCTTCGTCCGTCTGCATGATCTTCTTGATCCGCGCCTGGGGAGGAGGCAGGGCGCTCGGAACCCATCGCTCCCGCCCCAGGAGACGGCGTGGGGGAAGCGGGGATCCCGGAGGGAGGGGGCGGGGGGCTCCGGTGGGGAGGGTACGGAAGGGGGCGGGGCGTCGGGCCCAGAACCCCGCGATACGCCCGCCCCCCAGCGGGGCTCGGGCCCGCGCCTCCCGGAGCCGGGCCCTCTCCCCCGAGCCCGGCCACGTGCTCACCGGCGGGAACCGCGCGTTGTACTTTTTCTTCTTGCTCGGCATCTCCGGGCCTCTCGCCGCCGCGGCCCAGCGCCGCCGCCCGCAGCCTCCCGGCCCGGGGCCTGCTCTCCGCCCGCCCGCCCGCCCGCCCGCCGAGGCTCCCCCGGGTCCTGGTGCCGCCCGCTCCGCCCCGCCGCTCCCCACCGGGTCCTAGCGCCGCCCGCGGGGACGCCGCGCCCAGAGCCGAGCGCCCGCCCTCGGAGCCGCCCAGGTGGTGCGCGTCAGGCCCGCAGCGCCGCCGCTCCGGCCCGTCCGCCGGCCTGAAGAGCGAACGTTAGTCACGCCCCGCAGGCCGCCACGCCCCTTTTCCCTGGCCCCGCCCCGAGGTCACACCGGCCCGCCCCCTCCGCGGGAGGCCCCGCCCCACGGCGCCGCCGGCCCGATGGCCCCGCCCCGCGCTGCGCTTGTCGATAAAGTTGTTGTTGAGACGGCGGGGCGCTAAGATGGCGGCGGCGGCAGCGGCCGTGGCGGGGGCGGGGCGCGGCGGCGGCGGCGGCGGCGGCGGCGCGGAGCCCGGGCAGGAGCGGAGCCGGGCCCGGAGCTGGGCCGGTGCCGAGCGCAACGAAGGCCGAAGGTGACGGCGGGGCGGCGGGAGGGGCGCGGGCCGGGCCGGGGCCTGCCTCTGGCCGTGGACGCCAATGCGGGGGGCGGGGGCGCGGCGGGCCGCTGGCTGGCCTTCCCGTGGGCTCTGAAAAGCGGGAGTTCGAGCCCGGGCATCGCCCCAGCGGCCTCGGACCCGGCATTGCCCTCCCGGGCCTCAGGGTCCTGGTGGTTAAGTGGACCGGATAGCGCCCTCCGGAGGCCCGGCCCCGCGGGGCCTGCTCGGGGCTGCGCGAACGCGGGCTCCTCCGCCGCCCTGCACCCACTGCCGGGTCCCGGGCGCCTGCGGTCCCCGGCGGGGCGGGGGGCAGCCGGGCCAGTCGCTCCCCCACCAGAATTCCCACTTCCGCCCAGGCGCTCACTGCACGTGTGACCTTGGGTAAGTCTCTTCTCTGTGAGCCAGGGAGAGTGGTGGCAACAGTGGCAACCGCGCTTCCATAGCGCTTGTTCCACCGCAGTATTTAACTGTCAGCAGCGAGCACTGTGGGCCAGGAGCAGTTGTTACCCATTGTAAAGATGAGGCAACTGAGGCACAGGGACCTGAAGCATTGCCCAAGGCCACACTGTAGTTCGGTGCCTGGCACCCACGAGGGCCCGCCGAGCTGCAGATCCGTTATGAACCCTAATCCGGTTCCCTCACGCCAGGGGAGACCCCGGGGAGGAGCTGGAGGAGGAGGACTCTCCTGGCGGCCGTGAGGATGGCTTCACCGCGGAGCACCTGGCGGCCGAGGCCATGGCCGCTGACATGGACCCCTGGTTGGTGTTCGATGCCCGTACCACGCCCGCCTCCGAGCTGGATGCCTGGTTAGCCAAGTACCCACCGTCCCAAGTTACCCGCTATGGGGACCCCAACTCGCCCAACTCCGAGCCTGTGGGCTGGATTGCAGCGTACGGGCAGGGCTACACCCCCAACTCCGGCGATGTGCAGGGCCTGCAGGCGGCCTGGGAGGCCCTGCAGACCGGCGGGCGGCCCATCACCCCGGGCACCCTTCGCCAGCTGGCCATCACCCACCACGTGCTCTCGGGCAAGTGGCTGATGCACCTGACACCTGGCTTCAAGCTGGACCACGCCTGGGCTGGCATCGCTCGGGCTGTGGTGGAGGGCCGCCTCCAGGTGGCCAAAGTGAGCCCGCGGGCCAGGGAGGGTGGGCGCCAGGTCATCTGCGTGTACACGGACGACTTCACGGACCGCTTGGGGGTGCTGGAGGCCGACGCCGCTATCCGTGCAGCGGGCATTAAGTGCCTGCTCACCTACAAGCCCGACGTCTACACCTACCTGGGCATCTACCGGGCCAACCGTTGGCACCTCTGCCCCACTCTGTATGAGAGCCGCTTCCAGCTGGGGGGCAACGCCCGCGGCTCCCGTGTGCTGGACCGCGCCAACAATGTGGAGCTGACTTAGTGGGGCCGCCTGTGGAGACCGTCCTGTCTTCCTCCTCCTGCCCCACGGGGCCAAGCCCCAGCTCCGAGGACGAGGTCGCGCCGGAACTGCCTGCATCTTCAATCCCTTTGAACTTCTGCCCTCTGTGCAGGGCCGACTGCAGCCCCGTCAGCTGGAGGCTCTGGTTCCCTGAGGGCCGGACCCTCGGACTCTCTCTCAGCTGCTGCCCCCTCTGCCATCCAGAACCACAATATGGGGCCAGACCTCATCCTCGGTTTTACTTCCCCTTCCTGCATCCCCCCCCCTCTTCTTCTCTTTCTCCCTCACAAGAGAGAGCACTTAGTGCTTCCAGTCCCTCTCCCAGGAGGGGAGGCCCTGCAGGCCCGAGCATGCCACTTTCTGGAGGGAGGGAGGGTGTTTGCACCCACTCAGCCCTGGGCAAAGGGGATGCCAGGGCCATGGACACGGGGTCTACCCCTCCCTGTCGCCTCACAGTCTGCACCCCCTTCCCCCTTCACTACCTTGTCATGTGCCTGCTCTTGGCATTTCAATAAAACCCAGCTTGGGTCTGTGTCGTGAGTGTTTTTTTAAAATACTGTTAGTGAAAGAAATAAAATAAAATAAAAATAAAATACTGTTAGCGGTTACCTGCTTTGGTTGCTGGCCCTCTGCCCTGGCTGGGCCCTCCTAACTGCCCCCTGTGATAAGATAGTCCTGCCACCAAGGCTGGGACCCTCTCTCAGAGACTCCGTCAAGCCAGCCCTGCTTCCCTCTGTCCCAAGAAGCAGAATCAGTTTCTCAGTGATTTCCCACAAATCCACGGGTGGTGGATTTATGCCTGTGAGAGAGAGGACCCTCTTGGTCCTGGCAGTTCTAGGTCCGATCACATGGCCTGGTGAACGGAGGATGGCTGGACATCCGTGTGCAGGGAGCGACCTGCACATCCCCGAGCGGCTTGGAAACCTCCCATTTCCTCCGCGCTCCACCGCCTGCTGGCACGGGCATGGCCAGTGCAGAGCACTCTGTTGGCGTTACTCAGCTCGTATGAGGGAAATGTGGCGCTGATCTGTGGTCAAGGCGATGGAAGCCGGGAGGGGGGTGCCCTCAGGCCGTGCAGTGAGCCAGGCAGAGCCAGGACTTGTACCCCGGCCCCACTTCCTATCAGTGCGGTCCTGGCCTCACCCACAGGGCCGCTTCCCAACCGCCAGGCACATTCACCCACAGGCTCCGCTGCCTGGCTCTGCACCCTCCCAGCCCCGGCGAGGCCTGGGCTTTGGGTGGAGGCCAGGGTGTCTGGCAGGAAGCCCCTTGGGGTGCAGCTCTCGTGCGGGAGCTGACTCAGCCTCCAGCATCCTCACCGAATTGGAATTTGGAGCAGGGGAGCGGAGATGCCACTGGGCTGACTGGGTGGAAGTGGATGAGTCATGAGGCGCTGCCTTGGCCCCCTCCCCAGCTTCCTCCGCACCCGCAGCTTCCCCAGGTCAGTCCCCCTCAGCCCGGCCTGGGGAAGTCCCAGAGCTGGGTGGTCTACACATTGGAGCCTGGTGCCCCCCTCAGACCAGCAGTGCTTTGCACTTGACCAAGGTGGGCCAAGGCTTGTGGGAATCCTCGCCAGGCCCTCGGGGGTCCCACAAGGATGACAAGGAGTATCAACACCACCTGGTACTCCTGTAACTAAGGACTTCACACACTCTCTCTTTTCCATCCTGTGGGCCTGCTTTAGCCCATTCCTCCCAAACCATTGCAGCTTGCCTCCTCTGCCCTGTTCCCTCCCCCTTCTCCCCCTGTCTCCCCTCAGCAGCTCTCCTACAGGGCTCCCTGGGTCCCTCTCCTACTCTAAGCTCTTCTGTGGCTCCCCAGACTGTGATATAGAGTCTCCGCTCAAGCAGCCACAACCTAATCCCCACCCCCAGCTTCCCTTAGGGGCCTCTGCCCATGCTCACCCCACGGAGCCAGCTGGCACTCCTCCCCCCCCCCCCCCCCCCCCCCCGGCACATAGCCCTGAGCCTCTGGCTGTCCCTGCTGCCTGAACACCTGTCGTGCCGCAAGGATGGAGAGTTACTTATGTAATCACTTGCCTGAGGTCTATCTCCCACTGACCCCTAAGCCACATGGCCAGAACGTGCACTCAGTGAAGGCCGCAATGTCTAAATCTCAGCCCTGTCCCCAGCGCCTAGCACAGTGCTTGGCTACAACCACCTTTCCATTCATTATTAACCAGTTAACTACCACGTGTCCCAACGGAAACTATCCCACAGGCCATGATATATATATATATATTTTTTTTTTTTTTTTAATATATTTTATTAATTTTTTTTTTTTTAACAGAGAGGAAGAGAGAGGGATAGAAAGCTAGAAACATCGATGAGAGAGAAACATCAACCAGCTGCCTCCTGCACAACCCCCACCGGGGATGTGCCCGCAACCAATGTACATGCCCTTGATCGGAATTGAACCTATGACCCTTGAGTCCGCAGACAGACACTATCCACTGAGTCAAACCAATTTTGGCTTGCCATGATATTTTGAATTTAATTTAAAAAATCAATTTGCAATGAATATTATAAAAATAAATATATTACAACTTGGGTATTCTTGACTATTTTCAGCTGAAAACTCATGGGAAATGATTTTAAAGTTGGTCAGGGCTGCCACTTAGGGAAAACAATTTTTATGGGTGCACATGGCGTGGGGAAGGTCCACCGCCTGCATCTACAGCTGCTTATGGCGTACCATGTGCTAACTGAATGGAGGAGTGTGCAGCCCACACCAGCCCCTGCCAGTGGCTCTGCCCCCTCTCCATCCCTGCTTCACCCTGCTTGTTCCAGAATCCTGAGCTGCCTCTGGTTTCCTTGCACACGCTCTGGCCTCACTTGTGTGTTTTAGCTTATCGACTGTCACCTCTGCTTGGTGTGCCTGACCTCCCTGCTTCTCTGGCCGACTGCACTTCACAGAGCCACAAGCTCGTTTTCTCAGGTTTCTCCTCCCCATTCATCTGCACTTCAGGCTCCCATAGCAAACCCACCTGGGCTCTGTGTGTCGGGGCCCCTCAAAAACAACCCCCACCTGGGGCTCTGTGTGTCGGGGCCCCTCAAAAACAGTGGCTGAGCCATATCCCTCAGAGTGGCCTCCCACAAGTGCCAAATCAACACTATTGAATAAATGAGGGATTGAATGAAAGTTACTTCTGTGTCTGGGCCAGTTTCCTCATTCTGTTCATAACATGAACCAGGCACTATACTGAGTGTTCACATGCATTATCTAAGCCTCACTTGACTATTGTTGCTGCCATTTTGCAGAAGAGAACACTGAGGCCTAGAGAGGGTCAATAATTGGTTCAAGGTTACAAAGCCGTAAGTGGCAGAGCCACGGTATGAATCAGGTGCTCTGCCAACTCCAGAGTCCCTGATGCATCGCTGAGCCCGCTCTATAAGGCCTAGCAAAGACTTGGGCTCTAATTTGTAAAGCACACAGGTTGGGTCCTCAGAACCACCTAAAGGGAGGCTGGGTCAAGACCAAGATTATGTATGTCAAAGAGGAAGGGAGAGGGTGAGAGAGAAACATCAATGATGAGAGTGAATCATTGATTAGCTGCATCCTGCACGCCCCACCCTGGGGATTAAGCCCACAACCTGGGCATGTGCCCTTGACCAGAAGCAAACTCAGGACCCTTCAGTCCACAGGCTGATGCTCTATCCACTGAGCCAAACCAGGTAGGGCCAATTCCCATTTGACTGGTAAAACTGAGGCCCAGAGAGTACTCTGACTAAGCCGACCTTGGCAAGAAGGACCTCCCAGGCCTCCTGTGGAGATTGCTGCCCTGCCGGACCACGACCCACCCCCTCAAGCTGACAGCAGTCTGTCCTGTTTGGCCGCCCCTTCAGGGTGGGACAGGCTGGGAGAATTTGGACAAGCCCCTTATAAAACCACAGGAAGGAGGACTGAGGCCAGAGAGGGGCATCCCACCTTCTCACAGGCCCTGCGAACCCAGAGCCCCAGAGAGAAGGCTCAAAGGGGACTGGCCAGGGGATGGGGAGAATGTCTGACCCCCATCCCAGCTGGGACCGGGCACGGACTCAGGAGAAAGCTTCATTCAGCCAGAGCCTTGGCAAGGTTCTGGGGATTTTCCCAGCAAGATGATTGCACCCCATTCTGCCTGCGGGGCGGGGCCTTGGCAGGGACAGAGGCTTGGGTCACACAGCTGATTCATCCACGCAGGGAAACTCCCCACTTCTGACATGCATCCCCCAATCACTGAGGGGTAACCTCAGGGCACCCGGCCCAGAAACCCAGCAAGCCCATCTTTCCTTGATGACACCCTTGGGTGAAAACACCCAGGCTAGACAGAGGGACAGAGTTGGGAAGGGTGGCAGGGCCGAGGGACGGCTTCCCTCGGGATAACACCAGAGACGGGAACCAGAGTGATGGCTGGACAAGGGCCCTCGCCCATTTCTCAGATGAGAAAACGGAGGCTCAGTAAGAGCAAATACATACACAAACCTCCTCTGCACCAGGCACTGCTCTAAGCAGTTGGCTCTCAATCGCCCTGCGATTGCTGCGAAGGAAGCTGCAGAGAAAAAGGTTAAGTAACTTGGCCACGGTCAAGGCTAGAAGTGCTCCAGCCAACTACACAGCTCCCAAGAGCGCTCGTACACCCCATGGGCAGGGAGCTGTCCCTGTCCCTGAGCAGCTCTGGCGCCTGGGGACCCTAGAAAACCCAGGGTCCCCGCTCACCCAGGCTAGAGGGAGGCAGCTGAGCCTGCAGAGGCCAGGAGAGGGCAGCGGAGTATTCCCACCACAATTTCTTCTCTAGGGCTTTGACTCCTTTCCAAACCTCATCCCTTCCTCCCAGAGCCTCCCTTTCCGGTCTGCCCCGCCCCGCAGGCGCCAGCACGCACACCGGGCGCACACGTGCTCACGGTTCAGCGTCAGGCCCTGCAGAGGCCTGCTGGAGGGAAGCTGAGGCTCCATGAGGCATGGCCAAGGGCCCCCGGCAGGCAAATTCTGTCCCATCTGGCTCC